ATATGCACTATTCTGCAACACACTTTTTTTTTTAAAAGATTTTTATTTATTTATTTGACAGACAGAGATCACAAGTAGGCAGAGAGGCAGGCAGAGAGAGAGGAGGAAGCAGGCTCCCCGCTGAGCAGAGAGCCCGATGCGGGGCTCGATCCCAGGACCCCGGGATCATGACCTGAGCCGAAGGCAGAGGCTTTAACCCACTGAGCCACCCAGGCGCACCCTGCAACACACTTTTTTCACCTAAACTTGTATCTTTCCATGTCAGTACACATGGATCTACCACCTTTTTTAAAACTGCTACACAATATTGCCTTTATGGATGTACTATAATTTAACCAATCGTATAGATGAACATATTTTTTCAAAATTTTTCCTAGTAAAATAATGCTACAAACATTATCTTTTGGGGTGCCTGGGTGGCTCAGTGGGTTAAAGCCTCTGCTTTCGGCTCAGGTCATGATCCCAGGGTCTTGGGATCGAGCCCCGCATCGGGCTCTCTGCTCAGCGGGGAGCCTGCTTCCTCCTCTCTCTCTGCCTGCCTCTCTGCCTACTTGTGATTTGTCTGTCAAATAAATAAATAAAATCTTTAAAAAAAAATATTATCCTTAAATACGATGTTCTTCTGCACTTTCCAAATTTTTTAAAAAGATTATTTATTTATTTGACAGAGAAAGATCACAAGTAGGCAGAGAGGCAAGCAGAGAAAGAGGAGGGAAGCCTGCTCCCCACTGAGCAGAGAGTCTGATGCAGGGCTCAATCCCAGGATCCTGAGACCATGACCTGAGCCGAAGGCAGAAGCCCAACCCACTGAGCCACCCAGGTGCCCTGCGCTTTCCATTATTTTTGACTAAATTCCTACTTGTTGAATGGCTAAGTAAATTATTTCCAAACTGCCCTCCAAAAATTGTTTTTTTACTTCCATTAATACTAACATATTTGTTTATATATAATCTTACTTCCAATCTTTTTCATCTTTGGTAGTAAAGTGAGCAAAAAAAAAAAAAAAAAAAGCCCTCACTGTTTTAATTTGCACTTTGAAATTAGGAAGATGGCCATCTTTCACCGTGCATACTGGCCACTTGTATTTCTTCTGATTATCTTGCTTATGTACTCTGTTCATTTTTCTCTTGGGTTTAATATTTTTCCACCTGATCATTAAATAGTTTCATAAATGTACTTGTCTTTAGATTTAGCCTCTGGCAGCTTTTTTGTTTTGGTTTAGTGGAATTTTGCAGGACCTACAGAAGGTTTTTAAATTTTAGAGTCAAAAGTAGTAATCTTTTCCTTTCTGGATTCTGCATTATATGACATATTTACAAGAGTTTTTACTGTGCCAAGATTACAAATACACACAATGCTTTCTTCCAGTATTCTGTTGTGTCGGTTTTTAAGATTTAAATTTTGGCCTATTTGGAACTTATTTTAGTCATCAAAATGAGGTTCATTATTTTTTTATTATTATTATTACTAGAAAGCTGCCTGACGCCAAACCACTTTTTCTTCTTTTTGTTTTTTTTTAAGACTTTATTTACTTATTTGACAGAGAGATAGAGAGAGAGAGAGCACATGCAGGGGGCAGCAGGCATAGGAGAGAGGGAGAAGCAGGCTCCCCATGGAGCAGGGACCCTGCTCCAGGATGGGGCTGGGGTTGGGGGCTCAGCCCTAGGATCCCAGGATCATGACCTGAGCAGGAGCGGACACTTAACCAACTGAACCACCCAGGTACCCCAAAACTACCTTTTCAGGCTGATTTGAAATAACACCTTGAGGGACACCAGGGTGACACCAGGTCATGATCTCAGGGTTCTGGGATCGAGCCCCGCATCGGGCTCTCTGCTCGCCAGGGAGCCTGCTTCCCCCTCTCTCTGTGCCTGCCTGCTGTGATCTCTCTCTATGCATCAAATAAATAAAATCTTTAAAAAAAGAAGAAAGAAAGAAAGAAATACCACCTTGACTACATAATAAATTTCTGTAAGTATCTGTATTTGGATCTATTCTGAATTCCATTACATTCTATCTGCATTTAAGTTCCTGCTCAGTTCCATACTATTTTAATTACAACTTTATTAATTTACAACTTTTATACTATCTGGTGGTGCTGCAGAGTTTATGCTCCTTATTGCCCTTACTTTTTAGAATTTTTCCTGCCCAGCGTCACATATTTTTTTTATCTTCTAGTTGAACTTTAAATTTTGTCATCTTAAAAAATGGCTTGGGGCGCCCAGGTGGCTCAGTGGGTTAAAGCCTCTGCCTTCGGCTCAGGTCATGATCCCAGGGTCATGGGATCAAGTCCTGCATCGGGCTCTCTGCTCAGCAGAGAGCCTGCTACCCGCCCTTTCTCTCTCTGCCTGCCTCTCTGCCTACTTGTGTCTCTGTCAAATAAATAAAATCTTAAATTTAAAAAAAAATAAAAGGCTTATGATTACAGCATCACTATCTTTTCATGTTCCAACCATCTGTGTATACTCTTTTCTTCCCAATATGTAGACACAATATTGTATCCAGCTTTTCCCAGTTTCCTGAAGAAAAAAAAAAAAAAAAAAAAGTCTACTAGTTAGGCTAGTAGGTTGTATGCACACTTGCGTGGTTATGCCATAATGAACTCAATCACTGCCTTTATGGGCATCTTTTCAATGATTTTGCCATCACAAACACACTGGAATTTACATACTTCTGCTTTTGCCATTCTTTTTGCTGTAGGACAAGTTCCTAGGAGCACCATTCCTAGGAAAAAGGTTTGAGACTAGATGTTACCATTCCTAGGCCAATGCTCTTTTATACTCATTAAGACGACTAAAAATCCGCCCAGTCACAAGCGATGGGGATTTGAACCCAGTGTGAGTTTCGGAATCCAGGCCTACATCCGCGGCCCCAGTTTACTTTACCCCAACCAATCTCGGTTTTCCATTAGACTGGCCCAAAGGCCTCAGGAACAGGCCGGCGAGACCCTCGCCAGCTCCCAGGTAGCCCGAACGGCCCGGCAAGCTCAGCCCAGTCGGAGGCCTGCTTACCTGAGGCCCAGTGACCACCATCTTCACCTGACACCGCCCAGCATTCCGCGGTCAGGTATCCAAGGCCTCTTAGCAACGGCGGTGCGAGGCGGCGCGCCGGGCAGGCGCACTGGGGCGGGGACCTGCGCCGGAGCAACGTAATGACGACAGTAACAGGAAGACGCCGTTCCTCCTTGAGCGTCACGGGGCAGGAGGACAGGGGGCGGGGCTAATAGGGGACTGTACCATTATGTTGGCTGAGGGGTAAACCCAAACGGAACGTGAATTAACTTTAAGCCAAAGAAAAGCCCACCTCGCTTCGTCCTTAAGTATTCTTAGAGACTGATAAAAATGGTAGGACCCTAGGGCCCAAACTTCGCTCCACCCTGAGGGAGAAGAGTGAAGGCTTCCGATGGGGTGGGGACGGGGGAATGCCCCAGCCTAGACCCCAAGAGCGCCGGTGCGGAGCCGAGGGGCGGCTCGGACCTTGCGTCGGGGTGAAGGTGCCTCGAACCCGCATTAGGGGCTCCGTGCACTTCGTGGAAGGGGCTCAGGGTTTTGGGGGCCCAGGAAAGACTTCCTGGGAGAGGGTGGTTATGTTTAGGGGTGCGAATGGTCACTGAGATAGTTCTTCGTTGATGAGCCCAGCATCTCTGAGCGCCCCTGCGCCAGGCCCCGGGGTATGGTCGTGAGCCCGCCCTCTGGGCCTCCCCAGACAGGGAGTTAAGACCTTGGCCAGATGCTACAAAACAGTGATAATATAAACTGTATTATTAAGGGAGCTGTGAGGGCCCGGGGATGGTCGGAAAGGCGGCCCGTATGAACAGAGATATGATTGATATTAAGTAGAGTAATGTTCGTTAAGGCAAGGGCTGGAGAAGGAACTGCTCTGCCAAAAAGCCAAGGGCACATAGGGGTTGCTCTGCCATCGCCTTCAAAATGAAAAGCCAGGCGCCCGTAGCCACAAACAGGCCGCCCTTCGCTCCAACGGAGCGCCCCTTGCCGGCCTTTGGGAGAGTGTGGCCTGCAATGCCACTTCCTCGCTGGTTCAAACCAAGAGCAGAGAGACGACCAGCAGTTTGGGTTTACACTGATGTTTGTTGCGATCTTCAATAGGTACAGAGTAGTAGCGCTTTTAGGAGCTTGAATCACAAAACTCTCTTTGCCTTAAACTACTGTCACTGCAAAGTTAAAAAGTGGAGAAGAGGATGAGGATTCTCTTCATGGGGATGCTGCATTTTGGTGCAAAATTAGTAAGATAGAAGTGATGTATTCCCATTAGAGAGGGCGTAGGCTGTGCCACTTGAGGCTTTGGACAGGTTTGGAGTTCTGCTTGATGTACGGTCAGTGTTTGCTAGAAAACTAAAGGAGGACGTGCTCAGAGCACTTCTCCCACTGCTGAAGCCTGCAGGAGAACAGCGGGTTTAAAAATCAGCAGCCACCAAGTTCATTTCCCAGCTGTGCCTTGTACCTGCTGGGTGACCTTGGGCAAGTTGCTTCATCAATCAGAATGAATGTTTCTTATCTGTAAAGTGCGGTTAATAATTTCTAAATGCTGGTTTATTGTGAGGATTGTAGATAACACATGTAAAGATCAGAAAGTGCTCAATAAACATAGATGAAGCATGATCCATTCAATATCATAGTTCTCCATTTTTATTTTCTATCCTGGTGAAAATTTTGTGACTTTACAATCTTAGACCACTGGAAGCATTATGTGTTTCACAACCCATAATGGCATGTTGTGTACTTTTGACAGTACTATCACGTTACTGACGATTACACTCTTGTTTTTTGCTTTGGGAAGTTGGGGGAATGGGCCTCTCCATCATGTTCCACATTTGTCAATTAACAGTGGCTATTATGATGGAAACCAAATCAGAGCGTTTCTTTCAAAGTTCTCAGCACATGTCATAGGGTAACAGTAACTCTTCCTGATACAGCTTGGAATTTCAGTAGGTCAGTGTTAGTGTCATTGGTGTGTTTTCCAACACCATCCCCTGTTATTTCTGGGGCAAGAAGCTGAGGAAAAAAAAAAAGAAGAAGAAGAGAAAGAGTGGGGTTAGGAAGAAAAGGCAGTAAAATCACCAACACACTGATGTTAAAGTTCTCTCCTTGTCCACAAGCCAAAACGCCAATGAGCCCACCCTGAAGTAGCTGATAAACCACAGGTCTGGGGGGACAAAAAAAAAAAAAAAAAGAAAAGAAAAGAAAAAAGAAGCACTTTGCCACGGAAATAAGGCAATATGATCCATCCTACTCGGTTTTGCGGGTACTGTTACCACAGTTACCACATGAAAGCTTCTAGTCCCTTCCTTGAGTCAAAATCTGGCACAGGTGCATCCCTGGGCCACATGCCTGGCCCTCACAGCAGGGGAGGCTGGGAAAGTCAGTTATCTAGCATTTCAGCCACTGTAAGTAGAGGTAATTACTGCCCTTCATCAGGGCTCACAAGCTAGGAGATTCTCTGGACATAGGAAAGGGTTCAGATGTCAGGCAGGCAAACCTAAAAACAAATGTCCAATACCACGCACAACAAAGAAAAAGACATCATCAACAGAGAAAAATGAGAGCATGTCGGGGGGATAGCCTAGAGGTGACATATAAAATGACATCTCTGTCATTTTACACATGGAGATAAAAATCCAAACACCTAGAGGTCCTTTGGTAGAGAGATGCTGGTTGCCTACCCCACATTTCCCCCTTCTCCCTTAGCATCAGAGCCTCTGTTTTTAGGGGTAGTAATGTGCCCAGCTAATAAACCACATATCCTAGCCTCCATTGCAGGTAGGAGTGGATGGCTAATGAGCAGAAGCCATTGATGGGTGCTTCTGGAGAAGCTCCGTAAAAGTGCTATTTTGCTCTCCCCTCCTTGCCTCCATTCTCCTTGCCCAGGACACAGAAGCAGTGACTATAGAGCTCCAGGAACCACTTTGTGGCAATGCAGCAATCCTAATATTGGAAGCCAATTGCCGAAGATGGCACAGCAGAAACACAGAAAGCCTCAGTATCTGAAGACCTGTCCAACCAGCCTTGGACCACCTAACAACATTCTTCCTTTATGTGCTGGAAAGATATATGTAACCTTATGTAAGTCCTTGTTACTCTGAGTCTCTGTTACTAGCAGCATTAGGTAAGGAAGATAATTCCTGAAGGATACCAGCTGTCTTCAGTGGTTACACCAGTGCTAGGAACGCTTCTCTTCTAGTAGTCCAGGATGGCCTCATCCTCTGGTGCATAGGAAAATCCCAGGAAGGCACTGGAGGCCCCAGAACTACTGGCCACAGTGTCAGGAGTGCAGCCAATGGACTTTGAAACAGCTTCCTGGGTGAACTCGGGGTCAAAGTGTTTCAAGTCAGCAGGTCCTGCCTGTGAATAGAAACCAACAGTGAGATGGGAACACGGGGGTCCAAGCTGCTCAAGGAACCCACAGACCTGAGAGGGTGTTAGGTCTCCTTCTGAGGCCTCGTGGATACTCACCTTTAGCTGACATTGACACATGTGTTTGTTAGTAATTTCTTTTTTTTTTTTAAGATTATTTATTTATTTGACAGAGAGAGATCACAAGTAGGCAGAGAAGCAGGCAGAGAGAGAGAGAGGGAAGCAGACTCCCCGCTGAGCAGAGAGCCTGACTCGGGACTCAATCCCAGGACCCTGAGATCATGACCCGAGCCGAAGGCAGCGGCCTAACCCATGAGCCACCCAGGTGCCCCATGTTTGTTAGTAATTTCATTTCATGGCCACTAGCCATGTATCAATGCCTCCAACCTCCTGGCATCCTGCCTGCTCCACACCAACCCTCAGACAAGTCTTGTCAACACGCACCTACTGAATGCCTACCAGGCACTGTTCATGGCACTGGAAATAGGAGAGAACAAAACAGAATGGGCCCCTGCTTTCATGGAGCCTGTATTATGCAGAGGGTAGGAAGACTGATAATGAACATGTACATAAATAGACAAATAGACAATCTGGGGTGCTGACAGGCCTTGTGAGGAAGATAAAATAAATATGGTAGAGAGTGACTGGCTGTTTTTGCCGTCGGGGAAGAAGACCTGGGTGTGAGATCGTAAAAATGGTCACACATCCTCCATTCGCCATTCAGAGCTGGAGTCCAGTTCTCCATACCTTTAATACAGGTATGGACTTGTTTGCGACAATGGGATGTTACCAGATGGGAGGCAAGCCAAGACTTGAAAAACACACACTGGGAGTTGTTCTCTCCTGCTGCCCTTGGAACCCTAGGCCACCATGTGAACAAGTCTGGTCCAAGTCTGAACAAGTGACGTGAACAAGTCCAAGTCTGCTGGAGTAGGAGAGGCCTCAGAAGGAGAATGCAGTCGCCCCAGATGCTGGCCAACTGCCCGGCATTTGGGTGAGGCAGTTTTAGACCACTGGAATGACAGAGCCTGACAGAGACCGGCTGGCCTGGCACCAGCCAAACAAATGTCACCCAACCAACCCACTGAACTGGGATGAAATACAAAACTGTTTGAAGACACCTAGTTTGCGGGGTGGCTTGTTAGATAGCATGAGCTAAATGAACCATCCTCTTTGTGAAGAAGGCACAGCCTCTGGAGAACACTAGGCCACCTGGGTTTTCTGAAATGAACAGGTGAGCAAGGGGAAGGGTCCACAGATCTGCTTGAGTATGCAAGCCTGAGGCTGTAGAACCAAACGGACCATGGTTTCCAGCTTCTCAAAAAGGCCACAGGGCAGAGGGTTCCCAGCTCAGGGACCAGGGTTCCAAGACCAGAGTGTGGATCCTGGCCCTGGCTCTTGATAGCTGTGTGGTCCTAGATAAGACAGATGTTTTCTCTGTTTTTTACAAATGATACTGGTGTTAAAGATACATATTCAGGGGCGCCTGGGTGGCTCAGTGGGTTGAGCCGCTGCCTTCCGCTCAGGTCATGATCTCGGAGTCCTGGGATCGAGCCCCGCATCGAGCCCCGCATCGGGCTGTCTGCTCAGCAGGGAACCTGCTTCCTCCTCTCTCTCTGCCTGCCTCTCTGCCTGCTTGTGATCTCTCTGTCAAATAAATAAATAAAATCTTTAAAAAAAAAAAATACATATTCAAGGTCTCCCAGCTGTTCTGTTGTCTGTAGACAACAGAACCAGGAATCCACCCCCAGTATGTCTCACTTTACAGTCCACTTGCTGCATTCTATTACTGCCCTGTCTAGCATTTTTTACATTATTCTCTCTCCAAGGTGTACACTCAATATTATCATCAGGGTCTTTTCCACACTCCCAGATAAAGAAACTTTCCAGGTACCTGGACTGAGAGTATCCTATCTGACAACTGTTGTCAAGACTCTGATGCTCAAAGAGACGTTCATGCACAGGTAATTCACAAAAGGTGAGGTGTAGATAGCAAACATTGGCAGTGCTGAGGTGTGCGAACTACAAGGATGCAAGCAGCGTGACACTGCGGGACGCTTTGCAAGCGGTTGAGAGAACCTCCAATGTCTCCTTCAAATGGGGCTCCTTTCATGCACACTGCTACTGCTAATTAATATCAGTGCTAATTAACACTGCTAATTAAACACTAACCACCTTCACTATAAAAGAAAGTAAAACAGGATGAGATGCCATGTTTTACTTAACAAATTTGCAAAGCTAAAAACAGTAACAATTGCGCACATTGTAGAAAGGAAGATGAGAAATCTCCAGCAGACCCTGCTGGCAGGAAGTGGATTTTACTCCCTGTCGCAGAGTTAGGGAATCATAGCAGCAATGGCCACGGTCGCCAAACTGTGGAAAGAACCAAGATGCCTTTCAACGGACGAATGGATAAGGAAGATGTGGTCCATATACACTATGGAGTATGATGCCTCCATCAGAAAGGATGAATACCCAACTTTTGTAGCAACATGGACGGGACTGGAAGAGATTATGCTGAGTGAAATAAGTCAAGCAGAGAGGGTCAATTATCATATGGTTTCACTTATGTGTGGAGCATAACAAATAGCATGGAGGACAAGGGGAGATGGAGAGGAGAAGGGAGTTGGGGGAAATTGGAAGGGGAGGTGAACCATGAGAGACTATGGACTCTGAAAAACAATCTGAGGGTTTTGAAAGGGCGGGGGGTGGGAGGTTGGGGGAACCGGGTGGTGGGTATTAGAGAGGGCACGGATTCCATGGAGCACTGGGTGTGGTGCAAAAACAATGAATACTCTTACGCTGAAAAGAAATAAATAAATTTAAAAAAAGAGCCTAGTGGGTGTCTGGCTGGCTTAGTCAGGAGAGCAAGCGACTCTTGACCTCAGGGTCTTGAGTTCAAGCCCCACATTGGGTGATTGCTTAAAATGGGGAGATTACTTAAAATTAAAAAAAAGAAGAAGAAAGAAAGAACTTAAACAGGTTCACATTCTCTGATCTGGTAATTCCCTACCTGGAATCCATCTTAAGGAAATAACTGGAACCCTGGGCAAAGATACACACTTAAAAGTGTTCATCAGTACTTTTATGATAAAGAAAGAATGATAATAATCTAAAGTTCACCATTAGGAGAATGGTTGAATACATTATATCACCAACAGAGGATAGAAATATTATGTAGCCATTTAAAATGATACTTCTTGGGCACCTGGGTGGCTCAGTGGGTTAAGCCTCTGCCTTGGGCTTGGGTCACGATCTCAGGGTCCTGGGATCGACCCCCACATCAGGCTCTCCGCTCTGCGGGGAGCCTGCTTCCCCCTCTCTCTCTGCCTGCCTCTCTGCCTACTTGTGATTTCTCTCTCTGTGTGCCAAATAAATAAATAAAATCTTTTTTTAAAAATAAATAAATTTTTAAAATGATACTTATAAAGTTTTATATGATTTGGGGGAAATAATGACATTGGTTTCTAGCAAGACAAGCAAGGTAAGGGGAGAAGATATCTATATGTATTAAGTATAATCTATGTAAAAACACATAGAAAAAACAGGAGGGAGTATACCAGCAGCAATTTCTCCTGGGCAGTGAGATAATAAGCTTTTCTGCCTTGCTGTTTTAAACTCTGTTTTACACACTTTCTTTCTTTTTTTTTTTTTAAGATTTTATTTATTTGACAGAGAGAGAGAGAGAGTACAAGTAGGCAAAGTAGCAGGCAGAGAGAGAGGGAAAAGCAGGCTCCCCACTGAGCAAGGAAACTGATGTGGGACTCCATCCCAGGACCCTGCGATCATGACCTGAGCTGAAGGTAGATGTTTAATTGACTGAGTCACCCAGGCGCCCCTACACACTTTCTATAATGAATGTATGTCACTTTCATTATCAGGGGAAAAAAATAATTTTACAGGGCTTGGTTCCATCTGGGTGTGCTATGTGACAAAAAGGGGTTTATTTACTTATTTTAAAATTTTTTAAAAGGATTTTATTTATTTATTTGACAGAGAGAGTGAGAGAAAGCACAAGCAAGGGGAGCGGCCCGCAGAGGGAGAGGGAAAAGCAGGCTTCCTGCTGAGCAAGAAGCACGATGTGGGGCTTGATCCCAGGACCCTGCGATCATGACCTGAGTTGAAGACAGATGCCCAACCAACTGAGCCACCCAGGTGCCCCTATTTACTTATTATTTTAAGACTTTATTTTTAAGTAATCTCTATACCCAGCGTGAGACTCGAACCTACAACTCAGAGATCAAGAGTCATGTGTTCCACTAACTGAGCCAGCCAGGAGCCCCCAGAGAGTGCTTTAAACAGTGTAAAGGGCTCTGTAATGAAGGTTATTGGTGCTGAGAATGAAAGGGTGGGGGACAGTGTGGCTCATCACACAGAGCCGGACTGGCAGTCAGGACTTCTGGGGCCTAGACCCCGTTTCGCCTCTAACTTACCATGTGGACCTGGGCCCCTGGTTATCCCACCTATAGAAAGAGAGTGGCCCAGATCTCTCCCACCAGCCCCAGAAAACCAGAATATGGAACACAGTGACCTCTTACCACATTTGGGTTGAAGGGTGGAGTCAGCCTCTTGTGGTACAAGTCATCCCAGTTTATGGGGCTGAAGAATACATGATTCTTTATCTCAAGCTGTAGAAAGAAGGTGCTGATCACAAGTAGCCCTCCCCACAGCACTCCTCCCCACCCCACTCCCTGATTCCTCGTGTCTGGGAGCTCCAACTCTACTGGCAGCTGGCTGTTAAGCTCTAAAACCTTTACTGGGAAAGTAACTTGTAATTCCAGCTGGTTTCATGGGACAAAGAGCTGTTCTGCAGCCAGGCCTCTTCCCTTCACCATCATCTAGAACCCAAACCCTTCTCCCCTATAGCATTCATTCATTCCTCAACTATTTACTGAGCACCTACTCTATGCCAGCACCCTGGGACACGGTGGTGGTATGTCAGTGAACAAGACTGCAAAACCTGCCTTTGGGGTTCTCAGGGATCTTCCCACCCCATCCACCTGCCTCAGTGCATCTTGATTCTTCTAGAATGCAAACCAGAGAAATAGACCACATCTGCTCGGTAAGGAAGGTAACGGAAGTAAAGCCCCAAGAAAAACTGCAATTTCCTGGAGGCCAGAATTTAGGACTCAGCCCTGGGCCTCATTCACTACTTCTTTTCTAATCTAAGCCAATGTCAGCATCAAGTTCCTCCTATCCCAGCAGGACCCTCTCTATCCGTGTTTGGCAAGGAATGATTCTCCAGCTCCCTATATCATAAATGTTCCCCACCCCATGCCCCTGTAGTTGTTAAAGAGCTGGATCCAAAAGATCTTGAGGACCCAAGAAATGGATTAACACTGGTTGCCTGTAAATTAAGGAACTGGGTAACTAAAGGGTCTTTTTCTTAATATCCTTTGAGTTTTGATCTATGGGAATGTATCCCTTATTTGAAAAATCATACATATTTTAAGATGTAAATTTCCACTTGAAAGAAGGGGACTAGTCTGCATGAGAGTCTCCTTCTTTAAGGGGGCCAGGGATGGGTGGAAAAATGCCCTAAATGTTTGTTACACTTCATGGTATCCGGCATGTGGGGCTCCAGGTACCAACACTTAGCACTGGCCTAAGGGCTTTGTATATATTAATTCACATGATCTTTATAGCAGCTGTGACTTAGGTGTCATCACTGCAGATGGGGAAACTGAAGCTTACAGAGAGAAGTTATGCAATTTGCCCAAGGTTCTGCAACTAGGAAGGACAAGGAAGGTGGAGGAGGGATCTGAACCCAGGTAGTCTGTCCATGTATCACAACCACTGTGCTAGAAGAGAAAGCAAACTTCCAGGGAGAAAAGCACTATGGTCTTTCTTTTATAAATTCAAATTATCTTTTGTTGACTAGAGAATATAAGATTATTTTTCAAGTTCTATTTTAATAAAAAAAAATCCTGAATTCATTATAGAAATCAAGAGTGAATTACTCATCTCTGTATCCTGAATGCCCAGCCTGGCACTGGCAAAAACCAAGTCCTGTCCTCTCTCTGCATAGAAACCAGAGGAATATCTTAAAACTGAAATTGGGTCTTGCCAGAGCCCTGTTCAAAATCCACCAAAGTGGACCACTCTTCTTGTTCATGCCACAGGACTTTTGTACATGCTGTGTGCAAAAAAGGTGTCACCTCCTCCGAGTAGACCTACTTCACCATGCCACTGTAAATTCACTCCCTCCCATTATTGTCTATCTTGGCTCACTGTTCATTTATTTCCTGGTGCTTGTCACACTCTGTAATCATTATATATCATAATGTTTGTTTGTTGTCTGCCTCCCCCAATCCACGTAACAAGGGCATAGACCCAGCCCACTGAATTGCTACAACCTAGCTCAATGCCCGGCACATAGTAGATGCTCAGTAAACATTGGATGAATTCAAGAACTGGACTAAAGGAAGTAATGAAGCAGTAGTAGCAGCTGTGAATTTCCAAACGAAGGAGTTTGCAATGCCTGGTTTTGGAGGGGAGCTGGATGCCCATCACTGTGCTTCTGAGCTGCTTCTGCAGGAAGCTGAACACCCCCATCAGGGACTAGTGCTCTGCTGGCAGTTCACCTACAAAGTCTGATTTGGAGCCCAGCCGCTGCCTCTGGTCCTTGTGGAGAAGGCCTTGCAGGAGGTCACAGGCAGCCACAGTCTGGCCCCCACGGATCTGCAGCGGCTGGTGCAGAATGTTCTCATACATCTGGGACATGTCTTGGCTGTAGAATGGTGGCTGAAGAGAGAGAGAGAGAAGCTGGAGGCTCATCCATGCTAAAGTGGGGAAAGGTCTCAGGGAGACTTGGCTCAAAGCCAGGTAATGGAAGGATTCAGCCAGACTGCGTCTTGTGCAATGGTTCATACCACAGACTGGAGAGAAACAGAAACCTCACTTCTGGCATAGGGGAGAGGGCCTCTGGGAGGGCTGAGAGGGGACCGCCCAGGAGCATCCCCATCCCAGCTCTCTTAATCCAGCTTGGGCACCAAATCTGCGCTTTGCAAAGTGAACACTTTCGCCCTCATCATTCCAGCCTAGCCTCACAGCCGTCTTTGAAGACGGGTAGTGATTTGTTGGACGAGACAAGGCTCAAGAGATTGAGCCACGTGGCCAGGAAGAGAGCCAGGCCCCGCTCCATGCCCAGAGCCCACTCTTTCCTGAGACTCTTCATCCCGCCTCCTGCTTCTGCTTCTTCTTCCTGACTCCACGGAGCCCATCTCTCATATCCACCACGTTCTGCTGGAGAAGCCGGCCCAGAGCAGCGTCTGCCAGGGTAATTCTAAACAAGTCTCCCTCTGAGCAGGCAGCCCGGGGCCGGTTCCACAGACTACCGGCACTGTGACCTTTCTGGGCCTCAGTTTCCCTCTCAGTAAATAAGAACAACTCCATTTCCTCCAGTGGCAGCCTCCCAAGGCTGTTTCTCGCTGCCGAAGGGGTCATAGATGAGATGGTGTGTTGTAAAGTGCTAACTAACCTTATTGAAGAAACATCCATAATCCTGACATCATCCTTTTGAGCTTGGGGTAGAGAGATGCTCATTCAGTTCCTTGAGCTGGAGGAGGCCACACAAGGGAGAGACCCACCCCCATCTCTTCCTGGAGCCACATGTCCCTTGCAATGCTCACACCCCACTCACCAGGCCTTGCAGCATCTCGTAGAGAACGGCCCCCAAGCACCACCAGTCCACTGCCCGATCATAAGGCTCTTTACGAAGCACTTCTGGAGCCAAGTACTGTTGAGGAGAAAATACATTTATCTGAAAGACACTCGGCCTGTATCCCCATTTGTAAACAGGGCACTTAGAAGAAAAGATCACTAGGGTTTGATCCTGCTGTGATATGCACGTATGTTCAATCATCATCCATCTGCCAAAGGCCTACTCTGTGGTGACCCTTTGCCAATGTGCAAAGGTAGACTTACACGGTTGTATAAGTTGTGCACGATACAAAAGTACCAGCCAAAAGGATATACGGAGTTGTAAGCCTGGCAGTGATTAACTCACCAAGCCATAACCCTAGTATAGGGTTATATCTGGCAACTTGATTAATGTTTAATAGAGTAACTCTTTCTAATTAATGTGCCCAAGGGGGTGCCTTTATCTAATTTGCACAAAAGCATCCTATCAGTGTCCTGGGAACCAGAAAACCCTGCGAGTACTCACAGTACACTGGGGAGATTCATGCTGAAGTGTAAGTAAATGCAGCACATACTTGTACTGGAAACCTCAGTAACAGAGAGATGCAGAGGAATCAGGAAAGAGGAGGGGACACCTCAGTTCCTAGTGACAGATGAATGCATGCCACAGAGCTGTGCCTTCCGACAAGAAGACTACCTGAGGCAGATCTATGCTTTCTCAAACCCAAGGGCGTGGTGACCCCTTAGTCTGGCATCTCTGCCATTGAGTCTCAGCAACGACAAGAGCCATTTGGAGAGACTGTGTGAATGTGGGAGGGACAGGAAGTTACCCAGACCTGAGCCCTAAGTAGGGCTCATTTAACCTCCCAGAACCTTGATTTCCTCCTCTCTAAAATGGGGTTGCAGGATCCCTCCCTGGGGGCTGTTTTAAGGCTATGTGCTCATCTGGGCATAACAGGATATGTGTGCAGGCCTTGAACAATGGGAGCAACCATGGGTACTCTTGTCTGTGCTTCCTGGCATCACAGCAGTAGCTGACTTATGGAAGAGGTAATGTGTTGGAGCCCCATGTCTCCTCCACAATCCGGGATGTCCTTTGCCCTGCTCCTCACCCCTGGCAATGTCCAAGGAAGAGATGGCTGGGCTGTCAAGCTTTGGGACACCAGCTCTGTCCAGCGGACACCCTGCCATATATGCAAACAGAGACAATGGCTCCTGCTCCGAGAGATCACCTGTCCATCAGCTGCTCCAAAACCAAATGAAGGAGGCCCAGCCGAGATCTGAGATCCAGATTTTCTAGCGTACTAAGAACAACAGAGCAGATAAAAGTCCTGTCCCATGCCAGATCAGGAGGCACTTCCCAGTCCTACAGCCTCTGCCTCCCAGCCCCCACCCAGATATCAGTCAGCTGGGAGCCCCGTTGGTTCCAAGGTCCAAGGGTCAACACCCTGTTGGGAGTCCAGGGAAAGGTTTTCACCTGCAAGGCTCCCAGGAAGCCTTGGCAGGACACACAGACATGTATGGATTACTGCTGAGACCCACAGATTTTAGCCCCCCAGGCTCTTGGCAGCTGGAAGAGGGGAGTAGACCAACGTTCTATATTTGCCAGCCCTGATCTTAGCTTGTCAGGCCAAGCCCTCCTGCCACACCTGTAGGGCAGGCTGTCCAACATGGCAGCCACTCGTTGCACGTGGCTACAAGAATAACCTATCTCAACAATTTTATATTGATTGTATGCTGAAATGACAATGTTTTGTATATACTGGGTTAATTAAAATATATTATAAAAATGAATTCCGCCCGTTTCTTTTTACTTTTTAAATGTGGCTGCTGGAAAACTTTACCTTGAGTATAGAGTCTGCATGGCTATTTCTCTTCTTCGAAGACGGGATTGCTGCAGAACTTCCCCAGCAGCCCCCAGAGCTGGTGCCCCCATTAGACAGATGAGGAAATCAAGGCAGAGGACAAGCCAGCTCAGGACAAGGGCTTGGGTGACAGGACTGGGCCTCCCCCAACCCGGTGGAACCTGTTGGCTCTAAGCAGAGTTGAAGCTCAACCGCTCATGGCCTGACCTCTGACCTCTCCTACAAGGTTTGGCTTACCTCGGGGGTGCCACAGAATGTGGACGTGGTCTCCTCAGGCTCTACTCCTTCCTTGCAGAGGCCAAAATCCGTCAGCACCACATGTCCCTGCAGAGGAAGGTGAGCAGGGGCTGGAAGGTGGTCTAAGCTAAAGGGATGGTCAGGCCTAACCCCAAAGCCCAGATACTTTACCCCAGGGCAGCAAGTGGGGAGTCTCATGCCTCTGGCACAGGCTATAGGCTCCACTTAGAGATCCATAGCTCCTAGACTGGATGCCAGGAGCAGTACAAGGGGCAAGGTGGGGGGGTATTATTCCACTGTCTGCCCGCCCCCTTCCCCCCAGCTTATCACAGACTTAGACCCATGCCCTACAGCATGGCAGCTCCATGAATATCGTCGCTGGAGGGGACTGGCGGTGGCAGCTCCCTTGACAGAGAGCTGGTGTTTCAGAAAACAACCATATCGTGTGGCAGTTGGATGGCTGATGGAGGTCACGGAGTGAGCGGATACTCTGCTCAGATCTCCCCTTTAGGAGCTGTCACGCCCATACCCCACTTCTGGGACATTCCTCTGACCCAAAGTTACGTCCCTCCCAAGGGGCAATCCACACCCAGTGACTGGTCAGTGCAAGGGCACAAAAGCCCAGATTCCTTGCCTCAGTTTGGAACGGTTCTAAAGAGTCGCCCCAGCCCGGACCCTCCCCACCCCTGTAAGATCAGCCAAGGCAACCTCATTTGCAACCACAATGCAGGTGGGCTTCCTCCTCTGCCCAGTCCTGCCTCCTCACCCCCTTAAAACTGGATCTCTTAAGAGCATTCCCCAATAACCATCTGTACTCAACACTCCATCTGTTTCCAGGGGACCCAGTCTAAGACACAGAGAAACTACAAAGTCCAAGAGCCTCCACTTGCCCCCCGCAAACCACACACACACACACACACACACACACACACACACACACACGCACATACATGTGCACACGTAATTGAATGCATCCCTACCCATATGCACGAGGCACGATGCTTGCACCCATGCTCATAAGCACACACATACAGACGCACACACACACACACCGACCTGGCAGTCCAAGAGAATGTTCTCTGGTTTCAGATCCCTGCAGAAAACAAGAGAAAAGAGCACTGTGATGTCTCCCTTAGTGAGGACAGTAGGGGACCCAGGGTCCTGGCAGGCAGACTGTTCCTGGAGACTCACGGAGATGTGGAGGGAGAGCCCAAGGAGAAGGGCACTTGATGCCAGAAAGGAAGCTCCTACTCGACTCCCACTGCTGAGCCGTCCTCCTTGGACAAAGGGCCAAGTTCACCAGGACCTAGGGGTCCACACAACAACCCTGGCATTTGTGGCAGAAGGGCCAGAGCTGGCTCGGAGCCACAGGTGGGACTCACCTGTAAATGACGTTGAGGGAGTGCAGGTAGCCAATGGCACTGGCCACCTCGGCGGCGTAGAACCGGGCCCGGGGCTCCAGGAACCGGCGTTCCCGCTGCAGGTGGAAGAAGAGCTGGAAGGGGAGGACGTGTGTGAGAGAGGGTCTCTGGGTGGGGGCTCCGGCTCCGAGAGAGCAGGGTGGGGGGCAACTGGGCGAGTCACCCGCTCTCTGAGCTGCAATGTGCTTAGATGGACAGAGGCATGCTTGGGGTGCCTGGGGGGCTCCGTCGGTTAAGCATCTGACTCTTGATCTCAGCTCAGGCTTTGATCTCAGAGTTGTGAGTTCAAGCCCCACATTGGGCTTTATGCTGGCGTGGAGCCTACTTAAAAAGTGGGGGGCATGGGGGTGCCTGGGTGGCTCAGTGGGTTGGGCCGCTGCCTTCGGCTCGGGTCATGATCTCGGGGCCCTGGGATCGAGCCCCGCATCGGGCTCTCTGCTCGGCAGAGAGCTTGCTTCCTTCTCTCTCTCTCTCACTGCCTGCCTCTCTGTCTACTTGTGATCTCGCTCTCTGTCAAATAAATAAATAAAATATTTAAAAAAAAAAGTGGGGGGCATGCTGGCCCCCACACTACAGAGCAGTCATGGGTGTCCAGAGTGTCAGCAGGAGAGATTAATTCATATGGATTGAGCAGCTACCAGATTCCAGGGTCAAAGCCAGACCCTTTCACATCTCTTAGCTCATTTAATTCTCTTGACTACCTTTAGGGTATCAAATATGATGCCAGTTTCACCTAAGAGAAAACTCGAAGGGGTCAGGTGACTTGCCCAAGGCCAGGTAGTGCATAACTGGCAGAGCTAAGATGGGACCCCGGGTCATTCAATGATGCATCTTTCCTTGCCCCAGGCAGTAAGCTGTCAAACTGAGCCCAGCCTAGGTCTATCCGGGGGCCAACTGCTTTGGTCTGTTTTGCTGGCCTGGGAAAGGCCTTACCTCTACCAGGGGACTTAGGGATCCAGAGCAAAACCCACCTCTTGGTATCAGGCCAAAAGTCATGAGGTCATACAGGTTCAGTCTGGGATCACCTGCCCAGACAGACAGTCCAGGATGGGGCCTAGCCGCCCCCTGCTGTGCTTCTGGGTCACCAGGTGGCCTTGGGTCTCTGTTCACCACAGGGACCCATCACCCCCCACCCCGTCCCTGCAGTGGCCTGTGGTATAAAAAAGAGGGCATTGGAAATCTTGACCACATAACTCCACTAACACTGACCTTGCCCAGGTGTGCTGAAGTGAGTCTGGGCAGCCTTGTGTGGGGGCAGTGAAGAAATGGGGGCTAAAAAAAAAGAAATGGGGGTGTGGGAGCCAAACAGACTTGCATTCAAATCCTGGCTCTGTCAGGGACAGGCTGGGCAGCCGTGAGCAAGGGAGTTACCACTTGAGCCTCAATTTTTCAGCTACAAAATGGGTCTGTTGTGAGAATGAGGTGATATCATTCCAGAATCTGGTACACGTACCAGGCATTTAAGAGCCCAGCCCAGGGAATCCTCCCTAGGGGTCCACCCACCTCTCCCCCATTGACATAGTCCAGCACGAAGTAGAGCTTCTCAGGCGTCTGGAAGGAGTAGCGCAGGCCCACAAGGAAGGGGTGCCGTACATTCTTCAGCAGCACACTACGCTCCGCCATGATGTGGCTCTGCTGTGGGGTCATAGTTAGGGGCGCATGTCACCACCCACACAGCTAGCCCCCTGTGCCCTGGCACAGCCCACGTGGCCTCACTCATTCATGAGGTTGCCCTGCCCAGGACCTTCTCATGCCCCTGCTCAAATACCCACTGTGGCTCCTTAGTGCCCTCAGAGCCAGGCTCCCTGCATAGCAGCCAGGATTCTGAATGGTCAGCTTTATCCCCAGCCTCGTGTGTGCAGCTCCAGCCCCTGGGTCAGAAACCTCTGACCCTCTCTCCAGGGGTGATAAGGAAAGCACACATGATTACCGCATAAAAGGAGTCCCACTCATGTTTTTGTTCATGCTCTTTTTCCTGCCTGGACACTGCACATTTGAGGCCTCCCTAAAGACCTCGGCTATCTGCCCTCAGGATGTCCTTGTTAACATTAATTTCCTCGCCTCAGCCCTCTGACTGATGGTCCTCTCTCCTGGTCTGCTCTGTACTCCTCAAGGGGTTGGAATTAAAGAGACTCAAGACAGCTGAAGAAGCTAGAACTGTGGGTTGGCTGTGGCTTGAGGGGCTCCAACACTGCACATACAGGGAGGCTGGCAGCTAGACAAGGCAGAGGGCTCAACGGCCATGGAGCCCTGAGTTTCCCAGGGGACGGCAGAGGGCTGGGACAGGGTCCTCCCGAAAGCCCTATGGGTGAGCTGGTTGGCTGGGTCCTCTGAGAAGGATCACCACCCTCAGCACCACCCCGCCCTCTGTCTGCTATGATCACGGCTGCACCCAGCCCCGTGGGTCCTTCAGCATGGGACCCATCTCAGGAAAACATCTTAGGTTGGGGTCGAGAAGCAGGAGGGGAAACGCCTGAGCACGAGCTCTGGTACCTCTTTCTTCTTTAAGATGGACTTTTTCTGCAGCACCTTCACTGCGTAGAACATCCCATCAGACTTGTGCTTGGCCAGCAGGACCTGAGCAGAAGCACAAACGTAAGGCCCCACAAGGGAAGACTCCTCTGAGCTTCCGATTTCTCCATCAGCCGCTTGCTCTGGCCCGTAGTCCTTCATTCTACAGTTGTGAGCTCCCGCTTTGTGCGTGCAAGCGACAGGCAGAGGGTGGAGAAAGCCGGGGAAGGGAAGACCCAGGTCTCCCAACCTCCCTGTGTCACTCACCTTCCCATAGCTCCCTTTGCCAATGACTTTCAGGAAGTCAAAGTCAGTGGGCCGGGCGCTGCGGGGGAGGGAGAAGAACACAAGTCCGCATTTATGAACTTGGGAAACCTGGCTCCTGATATGAAATCCAGGCTTCTCTTTGACTTGGAAGCTGGGGAACAGAGGGAGCTTTCCAAGAGTCAAGCCTCCTGGCCACTGAAGCATGCCATGTTCTCCCAGCCAAGAGGGCTTGGAGGACAGGCTCCTACCCCTGGGGATCCACAGTCGAGCAACCAACAGACAAGCTGGGGAGAAAACTGACAAAACTGCAAAGAAGACAAGAACTCTGCTCCCCCCACCAAACCTGAGAAGGGCCTGAAGGGTGGGGAATTGCTAACAATGCAGAGTTTGGGGTGCGTTTCAGGCATGCAACTCAGCATGGGAAAGGCTGGGGAATTAGTGGGAGATAATGCTGGGTCCCTGGTGGCAGAGGGTCCTGACGGTAGACCAGAGAACTTGGATCTGATTCCCAAAGAGAGGGGAGCCGGGTTTGAAGGGAGCCCAGGGGAAAGTTGCTTGAAAGACCAGAACTCACTTTGGGTTGGCTGAAGGTCCCAGGTTGATGTTCCCATTGGCCCTTGAGGGCTGGTAGACATTGACAGAAAAGTTAGTAAGATCAGCAGTGACTGAGTGTTAGGATCCTCAGCCTCCTGCTTTCCCCTGGCCTAGGCCCTGCTCCCTTCTCTACTAGCCTGCCTGCTTCTTCCTTCCTTCTTTCCACCGGTCTACCAACCCACCCAACCATCCACCATCTCATCTGTTTGTCCTAACACCCCATTTTCTTGAAGCTCTTGCCCAACTCTGTGCCCTGTTTACCCTGCAAATGGCCCACTTCCGTGAGCTCACAGTGACCCCTGTCAGGCCCCCAGTCCTACTCTAGGTGGGCCCACCAGGCTGGCCTGAGCTTCCCCGGGATTTCCCCTGGAGGAGGAAGTGAGCCCCCTGGTGGTGTGTAGGGGAACCAAGACTCACTCACCGGAGGACTGGGCGTCCCAGCCTGGCCAGAGTCCATTCTATGGCAGCGATCAGGTGGGCTCTGGGGACACAAGAGGGACATGAGAGAGCTGTGGTTGGGGAAGGAGTGTCACCTGTCTAAGGCTTTAGGCACTACTGCACTCTCCATCTCTCCCCAACTCCATGCACCTGCCAGTCTGAACACCTCCAACCCAAGGCCAATGACCCCTGCAAGGGACAAGAACTGATATACCCTGAACCCAGCCTTTCTAACCAAACATCTCAAGAAGGAGCCAGGGAGAATGCCCAGGGGTATCCCTTCCAGGCTTAATGTTTTCAAGGATTGGGGACAACCAGTGTGGCAAGATCCCTGTGAGCCAGGGCGGCCCCGGAAGGCTAGGATGGCCAGGGCTGGAAGGCTGGGCTCCCCAGGCTCCCAGACAGGCACACTGCAACCCTGAATTCCTGGGGACAGCCCTGAGCTGGGATCTGTGTTGCGTTGACTATTATCTCCCTGCCACATGGACTTCTACTTAATGCCCCTGGAATGGCAAGTGGCCTGGGGGCCTGGGCTAGAGCCACGAAGAGATGACCCAAGCCTGGCTAGTGTTTGTTTGAAGAGTGTGACCAGCTGGTCTCTGCAGCTAGGAGCACAGTGTCTTTCCTGCTCCCACGCTGCAGTCTGAAGGAGGCTGGTATGTCCGGGCTCTGGCTCAGGATGCTCATGGCACGTGCCTGCTTGGAAGACCAAGGGTAGGAACTGAGATCCCACCTAAGAACCCAGGTGCTCATGGAGGATGTAGGTACTGCACATCCCAGGACCACAGCCTTGACCCACCGGGGGGCCTGGACAACAGCCTAGCCTCTCTGGGTAAAAAACCACCCATCTTTACAAGGGAGGATCCTAGAGCAACCACTCTTGTGGCCTTGGGCGCTGACAAAGTCACCCCAGGGGAAAGGAGGGAATCCCCTAGCCCAGGCTGCTCCAAAAGGCCCAGGCCGGTGGGATCCTGAGAGAACGAGCTTTAGATCTGCCTGATAGGGAGTGTAGCCTGGCTTCAGCCAGCGCCCTGGGGTCCGTGCTCCCCAAGGGCCCATAATGCTGCCACACCCACTCTTGGGTTGACCCCATAGGCCCCTTTGCGGGGCCCAGGCCTCTCTAGCCCCACGTACCTGTGCAGCCTGAGGAGAGGCCACTGGAAGAACCAGCAGTTGGAGCCGGAGGACAGGCCGTGGACAAGAGAGCCTCTCTCTGTTCTCCCAACAAGGACCGAAGTGTCTGTGCCTGGCGCCGGCCCGGCCCCGGCACCCAGCTCAGAACTCCCCGCAGCAGCAGCAGCAGCAGCAGCAAGGGGGCTGTTAATGTCACGTGGGATCCAGCGGCGCTTAGGATGGGACCAGGGACCTCGGTTCCCTCAGGGACATCACCTCCCCTTGGGGGGCGGGTGGAAGGGGGTGGGCAACAGCTGCGGGAACGCCCTGCTGACGCCTGAGGCTTGTTCGAATGCGTGAGAGTGTATGGCTCAGGCTGTGTGTGTGTGTCTGTGTGTGTGTCTATGTGTGTAGGGGGCTTGTCTGTAAGAAGATGCGCTCCCTGGGGCCTACCCAGGCTGGGCAGACAGACTCCATAAGGTTCTAGAGACCTCATCCGTGGCAGCTGAGAGCACTTTGCCTTCCAAGAATCTGTAGGTGTTTCAGGCACAGATGTTTGGCCCAGTCCAGCCAGCCTTGGTCTTTGCCTGCTGAGCACTTGGCCCTTTGGGCCCTTCCTTTCTGGCTGCTCCAGGGCCCTGGCCCACTGTCTCCAGGAAAGGACAGGTTGGCCTATAGCTCTCCAGCTGTATTAAGTGGTATGTGGTGCAATAATTAGGTACTCACGGGATCCCCTCCTCTCCCCAGGCACTCATGAGGGGTGTTCTGGGGAATGAAAGAGTTCAAGGGGCCTGACACAGCCCCTGCCTTTTTGGAACTTTCTGTGTGGCTACCATATGCCATACTTAGTTGGACCTCTGCAATTCACCACAGTGGAGGGATCCACGGGGCCAGGGCTAAGAAGGTTGGCCGGGGAGGGACCTGAGCCCAGCAGCCTTGGGGGTTCTCACTGGGCTCTGAAAAGCAGGGGACCAGTGGGGGGTTGTCCCAGCAAAGCAAACCCAAGTGAACAATATCAGAGCCTTCCATCTTTCAACAAACTAGAAATGTTGAACCAATACACTGATGGGCGGGATGTCATGTTGACAAAACACATACCCACCACAAGGACATTTCTTTTGAATAACAAGACCCTGATGGGACTTTATTCAGCAACCCAGTGTAGAACAGGAGAATAATCATGAAAGTAATCCTAACTGAAATGGCCTGCTCAGAGCCCCTGCTGGCTGTGACGCTCCCTCTCTTGACCTGACATCCCTCTTCAAGTTCAGTTCCACTTTGGTGTCCTCCCTTTCAGTTAAACTCCTCGAAAGAGTTGTCTGGACTCAGTTTCCACTCTTTCTCCTTTTCTCTCTTGAACCCATTCCAAAGAGGCTTTAACCCCAGCCCTCCACCAAGACCCTGGGCCGGTGACTCCCACGTTCCAGAGCCAGTGATGGGCTCCTCGGCCCCAGCTCGCCCAGCTTCTCTGGAGGACTGGGCACACCCAGTCTTCCCACTTGGCTTCCGGAGCTCCTGGTTTTCTTTCCATCTCAACCTCCTGCTCATTCCTCCAACCCTTCTGCTGGATCTGCCTCCTCCTTTGCCACTAAACGGTGGCCTGTCCTCGGGGTTCCATCCTCAGACCTCTAGCTACCCTTATTCCCAAACTCTCTCCTGCACTAAGTCTGGTTTGTTTGTTTGTTTTTTAAGATCTTTATTTATTTATTTGACAGACAGAGATCACAAGTAGGCAGAGAGGCAGGCAGAGAGAGAGGGGGAAGCAGGTTCCCTGCTGAGCAGAGAGCCCGATGCGGGGCTCGATCCCAGGACCCTGAGATCACGACCTGAGCCGAAGGCAGAGGCTTTAACCCACTGAGCCACCGAGGTGCCCCCTAAGTCTGGGTTTATATATCTAACTGCAATCTTGGCCGTTCACTAGTTGGGTGCCTGGAAGCACCTCACTTGTAACACGTCCAAGAGTCCTGACTCCCATTCCTTCCCCTCTGCTCTGGCCTACTCCTCTCCGTCTTCCATCCCCCACCTGCTCAAAGAATCAAGCCAGCAACTTGGAATTCGTTCTAGAGACACAGAACCTTCCCCCAACTCCAGTCCACCATGAAATCCCAGGAGACTCTACCTTCACATAGAACCCAGGGAGCACTGCTACCCACCAGAGCATCTGCCCCGTCCCTGCCTGAGCCACTGTCATCGCTTGCATGGATCGTCGCAACCGCTTCCCTGATGTCTCCTGATTTTTAGCTTGACCCTCTGCATGTTTCTCCACCCAAAGCCTGAGCATCACTTTTAAACCGGAAGTCAGACCACCACGTGACCTGGCTGCTCAGAAACTCGTCGCTTCCCATCACACCTTGGATTAAAATCCAAAGTCTGCCATGGTCTGCGAGATTCCGTGTGACCTGGCTCCTGTCACTGTCCCCACTTTGGTTCCCATGCTCTCTACCCTCCAGCTTCTCTGGCTTTCTTTCTGTTACTCAAACACACTGAGTGCCCTCTGGCCTCCTGGCCCTGGCCCTTCCTTTCCCCTCTGCGTAGAATGCTCTTCCCCCAGACTCCTGCATGGCTGGCTTCCAGGAATAAGGAATATCACAGAGGTCTCTGCTCAACTGTCAGCACTGAGAGATGCCTCTTCTTGTTATGCGTGACTGATTTTCTTCGTTTGTCTGAGACCGAGGGTTTCCAGGGATGTGAGACTCTCGGGGCTAAAGCTTGAGCAGTCCTGCGGCACAGCAGGATGGTTGGTCTCTGTACAGCACGCTCCCGCCCGCTCCCTGTCCACTTTCTCTGCTTAGCACGATCCACTCTGACATCTCATCATCAACTCTTTCCGTCTGGCACTAGAACATCGGCTCCACGAGGGCAAAGACTTTTCTTGTTCACTGTTGAGTCCCCAGCACCTAGATAAGGATCTGGTATATGATTGGTGCTCAGTACTTATTTGAGTAATGAAACAGGAATGAGTTGATAAGATCAAGGAGAGTACATATATAAAATGGAAAATTGCCCAACTGAAAAACGATAGATTTGTAAATCAGAGTGGGAATATATGCGTGATACAACGTCAAGCAGAAAAAGGACATTTCAAAATGGTAGGTGTGCCAGGGAGCCCAGCTTTATAAGAAAACAGAGACACATATGCATGTATACATTTGTGCATAGGCACCAAGAAAGGCTGGACGCTTACAACCCAAGGTTAAGCTAATTTTTATCTTCGTACCTTGGTGTAAAATGTCTCGAGGGGTTGCTGTTCACTTAATACTTCGGTACTAAGGCCTGGGGAGAACTTTGACACGTGCATTGCCCACCACCACACTCCCATCACCTTGACTGGAACTCCCACACCTAAGCAGCTCACAGCTCCTGTAGCTTCTTTCTTACCTGCACCACTGTCTTCTGATTTTCTGGCCAAAGGCTGGGCATCAATACCTTGTCGTGACTATTCAGACCTACAAGGATGCCTGTGAACTTGCAGGGTGTGATCCCTTCTAACTGCTGGAGCTTAGACGCATACGCCTCTGGTCCATCGTGGCACCAACCTGCTCACACCTCCCGAGGGCTGCTGGCTGCAGCGGGCGTGGGGGTCACTCTGTTCCCTCTCTTTGGAGCACTGCCCTGATCATTCTGGTCTGCTCAGCTAGCCCGTTGCCTCTGTCCTCATTTGCCATCCCCAGAAGACTTGCCAGACCATCTCCTGTTCCCCGATCCCCTAAACTCTTATCCCCTCCTCTGTGTCCACTGCTGCTATAACACCTGTCTTCACACTACTGTGATTTATTCATTTACTTGCCTGCCTGGCCAGTGCATACCAATGACATACCAATGACAGTGCCACCAAGGGCCAGCTTGGTCTTATTTTGTTCCCACAGCACCAGGGGTTAGAAACCACCGGGATCCCTGTTTGAAGGAGGAGGAAACTGAGGCACAGAGAGGTGAAGTAGCTTGACCAAGACACCAAGCTAGTTAACGCTCTAACTGGGATTTGAACCCAGGCAGTCTGACTCGAAGCCGAAGCCCGTGGCCTAGAATTGCAGGAAGAAGTTAGGCATATACAAAAGGAAGGAATGAATTGAGCAGGGCGGGAGGGACGGTGTGGCTGCGTTAGGAGGAGAGGAGAATAGGTGACTGGGAGGCAGAGAGATAGTTGAGAGGGAAGGACGGAAAGGAGGGGAGGGAAAGGAGTTAGGAAGAGGATGAGGAAGGAAGGAGGGAAAGGAAAGGAGTTAGGAGGGGGATTAGGAAGGAAGGGAGGAGGGCAGGAATAGTTAGGAAGGAAAATGGTAAGAAGGGAATTAGGAAAGAGGGTGCTAGGAAGGAAAGGGAGGACATTGGCAGCCAGAAAGGAAGACAGCAGGTGACCCGTTGGTCAGTTTGGCAGCCCGACAGGCTGGCAGGCAGGGGTCCTGCTTACGCCTGAGCCTCTCACCTGAAAATGCTGGGTCTTGGTCAGGTCCTGGGGAGCAGCCCGGGGCACAGCTCTGCCCTCCTGTCTCTCTGCATGGTCCCGCTGACCTGAAACCCAGCCCTGACGTGCTGGACAACCTTCTCGGTCAGGAGCGACCTGTCACCACTCACTTGGCTCCCGAGCCAGCTAGGAGCTGGCTGCAGGGCCTTCTGGTTACTAATTAACCTTGGAGCTGAATCGAAGACAGCTTCTAGACAGGCCTGGCCCTGGGGACCCTCTGAACTTTAAAGAGCTACTGCACAATTCAAGTTATGTGACCTTGGACTGGCGACGCCAGCTCCCCGAGCCTGGTGAGGACTGCCGAGGATGGGCGTGTGTCCTGACCCTCACGGGAAAGGTCTCTGAGGTGCCTTTCAACTCTGTCACGTTTCCATTCTCTGAAATGCCTCCCGCCCCACCTCCCAGGTCCAGCCCAAATGCTGACCTTGCATGGCCTTCCCTGATTCCAACAGCTGAATCACATCTCCTTTCCCTTAGTGCCTGGAGGACTGACCGTTGAAAGGGCTGGTCTTACACGGCTCTCCCCTGAGCGGGACCACAGCCTCTGACATGACCCCTTCCCTGACACCTCTGGGAATGGAAAGCTCATTCTGTCCTGAGCCAGCCTTGTTGCCGGACACTGCCGAGCCCGAGGCTGCCGCCCAGAGCTCACCTGCTGGGGCACCGCTTGGGGAACCATCCTGGGGAGAGAACCACGGCT